CTTAAAATATTCAGACTCGTTTCGTCTGAAAATGTCTTCTCGAGGATCGTGAAGTGAATTGTATGGTATTTTTCCAGAATGTATATGAAATTCTGTCATATTTCTCGAGCCTTTCATTTCTCACAGGAAATCCAGATTCAGAAGGACAGTTGCATGCTGTTTCTGTCTCCTGAATAACGTATGCATGTACAGAGTGTTTAAAAAACGGTCCCCCATTGGAACACTGTAAAATAAGTTGAGTTTGCTCAGTAAAAAATGTCGTAGCGACCGTTTTCAAGGCACGAGGTGTTGGAAAAAAGATTTTCTTATACACCTTTCACGATTATGATTATGATGATTATTGTGTTTTAGAAGCTGACACATCGCATGATCTTACTCTCATGAAGGGCGCTAGTTACACGGTTTGTACCGAGTAGTTTTTAACCACTGAACCATTTATGCATTCATCTAAGATAATATAAATCGATTGATGGTTTTCTATAACAGCAGATAGGTATATAAGTTTACTTACATTATACACATTCCTCAGAGGTGAGATCATCTAGGCAAAAAATATCAAATAGTGATATTTGATTTCGATAGGAATGAAGATAGTTAGATATATTTACAATATGTTTTGACGGATTTACGAACATTTCGGTGACAATACAAAATGGAATTTTTGTTGAAATTAAAAAAATGGCTGCTTCAAGATGGCGGACAAGATTTGGTCCGATTCCATTCAAAATTGGTAAGTGGGGGTTTTTGAGGTCGGAGATCATGATTTTTTTGTTGAAATTTATAAATTCAAGATGGTGGCTTCCGAATAATTTTTTGTTTTTGTATAAATGACGATAACTCCGTTGTTTTCAACACAAAACTATTACTGCGACATATGATCTGTAAGAGAAAAAAGTTATTTGTAACTAAGTCATAGTGAGCTATGACCTACATATGAAAAACTAAAGTTGGTGCTGATATCTCAAATTCTAGAAGAGTTGGTATAAATTTCATATTTTTTTCGAAATCACTCTGAAAAACTGCCATGAGAATGTGAAATTCTTATTTGAATATTTTCATAAATAAAGAAGTTACGGAGGAGACATGGGAATGATCAAAATCTGTTTTTTGTCTATAAAACAAAAACGAATAGATTTTATCAAAATATTTTTTCACATTATAGTTGGCCAGACAAACTCCACATTTGGTGTCATTTAACCGACCTCGTATCTCTAACCGTTAGAAAGATACCCATGGTGAGCATGGTAAGTGGGACGCACTGTATATCTGAGAATATTCCTTTTCAATACTTTCACCAAATCAAGGGGTTCAAGCTTGTTATTTTTATAGACGTCAATAGCAGATTCGTGATTAGGTTTTCACAATTCAGAATTCCTTTCCACGTCCTGTATGATGAATATCAGTTTATCATACATCCAAAAATATTCTTATTCTTGAAGGGAAAGTGTTATTTCGAAACTAGGTATATGGTGACTGATTTCATTGCCTGAGGATCAATTTTTCTTGGGAACAGAATGCTTCGGAAATGTTTTTATGGAAAGGAAGAATTTTTGACGAAAAAATTAGTTTCAGCCATTTTTTGAAAATCCTTATTTTCGAAAAACACCTTGTAACTCTGGAAAAAAGATTGAATTTGTCATGTGAATTGATGAACAGGTACCAACATCAGTTTTTTTCTTTCTAGTACGGGAATAGGACTTCCCCTTTAAACGTGTCCAATTTGGCACACCCTGTACATGAATATTCAAGTGGAAAATATTGGGGTGAACTGTTCATATGTTTATATGACTTGATTGAAAGTATACGGAGAGAGTAAAAGTACATACATCCTAAGAAAATATTATTATACAATTTTGAATAATTTTGGAGAAAATGTATTCTGCAGATCTTTTTGAATCTATATTTTTGTTACAATTTTATATCTAACAGTCGGGTATTATAACATTTGGGTCCTATGACGCCGATTTCAGCGGGGTACATGGATTATTCCAAAAAAAATAGCTAATATGGATTCTAGATTTTTCTTAGGTCCAAGTTTAACCTTTCTCCTTTCAACAATGGAAAAATCATGAAAATCTCTCCGTGAGTGAGAAAATTGTGAGGGTGGCCTCTTTCAAATGGCTCACTCTGTATAATCACTGTTAATTTCGAGCGCTATAACTCGAGAAAGCCGTGAAGATGAAAAAGTACAAACACTAATGAGTTCAATATCATTATTCCAGATTTCTTGGGATTTTCTCTCCTCGTTTCTATAAAATAAAAATATGAATATTATTTCAATAACCATGTAGTTAGGACAAATCAGATGATTTGCCCCAAAATGTCACTGCGTTTAAAGAAAATGGTGAATTCAGAATTAATTAATGAACTCATCCTGTAACTCATTTGATTGCCAATGTCACCAATTGTCACTGGGAACTGGAAAGTTTCAAGACAGATACGAATTTGCTATTCAAATAATAGTTATTTATTATACAAGGGAAAAATGTGGTTAATTTCAGCTCAAAAAACCGTGAGCAAAAATCTAATATTTTTCCCGTGTATAATACACTATTTTTCTATGTGATAGAAGAAAGGACGAATCAATAATGAGAAGATATTACATTATTTCGAAATTGAAAATTATCGACGTGAAATTTTAAGTTTTTAACAGTAGGGATACCTGCGTTGTAGGCATCTTTATCATTCTTTTGAAGTTATCAAATATCTGATGTCACTTCTGTCAGTGTAATTCTGTGATTTGATTTCAAAAACTTGCGAATTCAGTGGTTGTTTAGTAATATACGTAACCGCGAAGTCGAATGGAATTGCAGTTCTTTCTCAGAGACGGTATTATTGACTCATTTTTCGGAACTATAGCACAACAAAAGCCATCAACAGTGTATATATATGTGATATATATCTGGGAAAAAAGTACCCCCTTTTTTTCCACGGGAAAAAAGTAATTTATAAAAAGTGACATTTTATAACCTGCCAACAGAGATGAGATGCCAAACTTTTTTCCCGTCATCACAGAAAAATCATTTTTTATGTTGAATACGGGAGCAGAATCGTTCTCGAAACGTCTAAAGCTAAGGAAAAATCGATATTTTTTTATATACCTTTATTTCTCTTCTTTTTTCATAACAAATTGTCACTGACAAGCTATAGTGAATTTTTCTTTAAGGCTCTCTGATAGGAAAATTCTTTGAATGCAGTGACATTTTGGGGCAAATCATCTGATTCGTCGTTACCACACGTATATTGAAATAATACTCATATTTTCATTTTATAGAAACGAGGAGAGAAAATCCTGGAAAATCAAGTGAAGATGAATGAACCACCTCCTCGATTAACCTACAGACAGTATTTGATAAGTTTAACATTACTCGAAGGTCTACCACCCACCTCGTTCATCAGAGAAAAAAATGAAGAATCGCCTTGTATAGAGAAACGCAGAAAGCGACCCGACGACGAGCGTCCTTGGCAAAGTCGCCAAGGTATATCGCAGGAATATCGATTCCGCGTCCAGAGATGGCTGATACATTATGCGGAAGGATAACTCGCAAAAGCTTCCGTTTCCTTTGAAGGGAATGAGTCGACGCTAGAGGATGCTGGGTCTAGCACGATTCCAGGATCGACTGCATTCTGAAGGTATTGGTACATGGAATTCGTGCCTCATCATTGAGATTTCGTAAATCGTAAGATACAGGGTCGGTTAAATCATCGCAAAGTTGCGCCCCACAAAATGCCGTTTCAAAACTTGAAAAATTTCGAATACTTTCGGAGATACACGGAAAAAACAAAATTTTCTGAAACCTTTTTTTCAATGTAGGTATTCGGACAATACTTTCTGTATAGGTTGATCAAGAAAGTGGTACATTCATTTTGCTTGATTATTTGGTATATAGAAGAAATATCAAATTTTCAATTAGCTTTGGAAGTTTCGGGAACGAATCTGCTCTCGTTCTCAACGTGAAAATGCAATATATTTTTCTTTGGAAGTTTTGCTCTGCTTATAGTTTGATACTTCTCAGTGTCTCATACTGATGTTGGCATATGAATGAGTGATTTTAGTCTATAAATGAGTTACAGGATGTTTCCATTAATTGATCTTGAATCTACTATTTTCATGTTCAGTTTTAAGTAGTGAATACCATGTTTCATCTATATCAACTGAACAGGAAGCAATGCTATTGTCTCCGATCAGAAGAATTCAAACGGATTCCTTGATTTTTCTTTTTTGGTTGTTATCTTCCTTTCCTATGATTTTAATATTATTATTGATACCGTTCATTCCTGGCATATCTGAGAAGATAAAACGTGTTGTTGATTAGTTCCAAGTGAAAACTGTGTTCAAAACTGAAAATACAATGAGATCCATTCTAACTCAAACAAAGCCAAAAAATTAAGAACAATCATAAAATTTTTTTATGTATAGTATATCTCGTGTTTCTGGAAAGTATTATACCGGTGAAACGAAAAGACCTCTCTCAGTAAGGACAAAAAAACACAAGTACAGTATAAAGAAAAGACATATCGATAAATCACAGCTGACTGAACATATTTTTACTGAAGATGAACAACATATAGCAGAGTGGAATAATATATACTAACCGTAAGACAGTATTATTTCAATTACATACAGGATAATGATGATTCAACAATGACATTTAATATTTGCTCTGATAACTTCGAGAATTGACACAATTAATACGATTTAATAGCAGGAATAAAATGTATGCAAAACACACAAAATATGTAAACAAAGTGCCCTGATAACGCCGCCATCTTGTTCTTGATACAGCGCCCTCAACGGTCGATCACCTTGCCAATAGTCCAGGTTCGTTCATGATTGAAAAATTTTGGAATCAATGAACAAGACGTGACTGTTCAATGACTTCGAACCCTTCATGAATTTGAATGAAATTCAAGAAAATCACCGATTTGTGACAATATGAAGAGGAGGTGATACCATAATTAGATTCAGCTGTCAATTTCTCATTACTTATTTTACCAACCTTTGATCTGTTCAGGGGCCGTGTCGGCCTTGAAGACGGCGCTCTCCAGTCGCGTCCCGACCTCGAAATGCACCCGCACCGCCGTGGGGGGCAGGGGCGCCGCAGCCATGAGCGATCGCCGCGCACCAGCACCGGCAACACCGGCAACACCGCCGCTCCACCGCCACCTCCTCGACGGCGGGGACGGTTCATCGCGCAAGCGCACGAGCGCACGTGACCGCTGTCAGGCCCTGGCACCCGTCCGGGGCCGTCAGTGACGGGAGCAGGTCTGAGGTGGCGGGTAGGGACGCGGGGGGTACCATGTTACACCTGGAAATTGAAAATTTTCCTGAAAAATTTAACTTTCTAACATGAATGTCGGAATTGCGAGAAAAATGTCTGAATTTCAAGATGAAAGAATTTTAAGTTGTTAAACTTTGATAGTATCCAGCAAACACTGATACATATTTATTTATTTTTTCATTTGGAAAGCAAGGTTATCTTACAGAGGAACTATAAATAGTCCTTCCAATAACAGGATGACACAGTGAAACAAAATTATTATCTTTACATGGGTTGCACCTAATTCGAGAACTTATTACTATCATTTAAAAACTAAGTACCTACCTATTCTATAACTATCATTCCAAAAATAACAATCTGAAGAAAACAACAGTAACGTCGGTATATACAATATCAACATATATGAATATATATAGGTAGTATTTTGTCACAGACTCGAAAATTACAATTTCGATATGACCCAAGTATTATAAATGAATACCAGCACTATTTCTAAGGTGGGTAGAAAGTAAGTCTATTCCTATAACCATTCCAGGATCACAATTCAAGCTGAGGAATCCAGTGCATGCTGTTGAGTCAATATGATTGTTGAAGATCTTGTGAATGAATAATATGTCAACGAAGTCTCTTCTAATGAAAAGATTCTCTATTTTATAGAAACTCAAGTTGCTCTCATAGCTCATGTAGTGATGGAAGCGGAAGAATCTATAGTTCAAATTGTTGAACAATTTTTTTTCAACATGTTCAATTTGATCCACGTATTTGTCATACACGGGATTCCAAATGGTAGAGCAGTATTCAAGGATAGGCCTGACTAATGATTCATATAAAGTGGTAACTGATAAATAATTTTGAAATTCTTTAGTATCTCTCAGAATAAATCCCAGAGTGCGGAGTGCTTTTTTAACAACAGCTCTAATATGTGATTCAAAAGTTGATTTTTTATCTAGTATCACTCCTAAATCTCGGACTTCCCCAGTTGTTGATATTATCTGATTATTGATATATAGGTTTTCAGTGATAGGGTCTTGAGATCTAAAGAATAGAACATTATAACATTTGCTCGCATTGATAAATAATCTATTTGTACTGCAGAAGATTTGCATTCTTTCAAGATCTTCCTGGATACCCACGTTATCTGATCTCTGTTCAATGTTACTAAAAATTTTCAGGTCGTCGGCGTATATAACAAAATTTGAAGAATCAAAGCATTGTTCGACATCACTAACAAATACACTAAATAGAATGGGACCCAAGTGTGATACATAACAACCACAGATACCTGTTCTCATCCGATGTTGCAGACATATTATTTGTACAGTTAATGTATCTTGTCTCTCATATATCAGATGTTTTATAAGTAACATTAAATACATGTATCAGATACATTATAAGTAACGAGTATGTTCTTATAATGATACTTGAATGAATGTTACAGAGTAATATTTGCGAGATGAATCTAGAATAATGCACTTGTTGATTTCGAGAAATATACAGGAAATTGATTGTCGGCAGCCATATTGATAACTTTTCAAGGTATTATTGAAGATGCAGAATTGTTCACATTACCAAACTATCAGTATATAGGTATTCCTGACGACTAGAAGAACATTTCTGATTAGTTACAAAAAACTGGATACTCGAATATTTATTTTCATTCTTTTATTGTAAAGAGCGTTGAAAATATGTCTAGTTTGATAATTGAAACAATGTTGTATATTCAATTATAACAAAGTTACCTATGGTAGACACTCAATTTGGATTACCCTGTATACTTTGGTTGATTGTTCTCACCTATTCTTTGGTAATTGTTCATTTCTTCGATTGTTTCAGTACCTAGTTCTGGAGAAATAGGAATCATGGTTTCTAGATCGAAAATCAATGAAAACAATTTCAAACATGTTATTCAGCAATGAAGTACAACTGAATTATAATTAATTTGGAATTATCTGGAATTCAAGTTTCAATACATCATATTATGTTGATAGAATAGACAAAATATTGAAGATACAAATTTCATCATCAATTCAAATGATCCAGCATTTCTAGCACCAAAATGGAGGAATAGATACTTCAGTGGTATTGGTAATTATAGGTCAATTGATTGATGAATCACCTATATTCGGATTATATGCTTCCTAGATGATTTTGTCAGGTATATATCAAGGAATATATCCTCTTTTGGGGAAATCACTGCACATACACTATATCATCTGATAGCACTTTTGACACAACAAAATGGTTCATAATGTCTAGGTGGAACTCCTAGGAGCTAAAGTTCAACTGCAGCTCCTAGGAACTAAGTATGTTGCCTAGCAACATACCTATTTTTGTTTCAGTAATAGAAACGTCAATTCAAGAGCTAATTTTGGCATTCAAATGGACGACTTTTGTGTCGGTTGCAAAAAAACTAAATGAATGAATGTTCCGAAGCCCCTATTTCAATTATTCCTACATTCGGAAAATCGCCACCTTCCGTTTCCGAACACCCCCAATGTTTCCAAATCACTATTCGTCACATGAGCCAGTGCCACGTAGGCGCGAATCTCTCGAGCACAGCTAGCAATCATCACTCACTCGTAATTGAGAGAAATCCAGCCGATGAGGGCATATCTCTGGGAAAATCCGCGCAATAGGACGCTATAGGTAATAATAGACCGAAGCCGGGTCGTATTACAAGCCATTGAATAAATCACGTCTGCACGGGCGAATGAAGCACGAAACGCCACCCTGTGGTCCACAGAGATAATCAATTCAGGGCAGAAGGGAGAACATCTCTTCGGCTCCGCACACTGTGCTCGTCTATGAATGCATTATTGATGGATGCGACACCAGAAGGGGCATTAAAGGCGTCTTTTTCGTTTTGTCAACCATTTCCTGATCCTCACATCAAGTATTCGAACACTTATTTACAGCGCTAGTTTTTCGATGAACACCGTGCGACGCCTTGTATGAATAGAAGTTCCTCAATACCGACCTGTATCTGGCCTCTCCCCATTCTCCAAAATGGCAGAGTACTGCATGATTGATAGACTCATCCCATTCATCAATGAATTCAAACTACGACCAGATCAACAACATGATTGATAGACTCATCCCATTCATCAATGAATTCAAACTACGACCAGATCAACAACATGGATTCCATAAGGAGAAATCCACAACAACTGCAACAGTTGATTTTTACAACAATGTTTTAGCAGAGATCAATGCAAGAAGATCTCAAGTAGGGATTTTTTGTGACTTGAGCGGAGTATTCGGCCTTGGAAATTCTTATTTCCATGAAGAACTCGATGAACCTGAAGAAGCAATGCGAGTAACACACTGACAAAGACTTCCAGGACTGCGGCAGGCCAAAGATCTCCTCGGCAATTTCAACCGAGCAAGATCGAGGACACTGATTAACCTCAGCAAAATGAGTCTCAAAGCAATAACATGATTTCTAACGGGGCAATGTAGTCTCGAAGGAAATCTTAGGGAGCTAGGCTTAGATGAGGACAGTACCTGTAGATTCTGCAAGAAACACTCCACCACATCTTGCTGGAGTGTTATTCTGTTCAAAAGATTGAATATACTGAGAGCATACCAGCTGACCGTGAAAGAGATACCACGAACAGATCCCCCAGAGTCCACAAATTGCTATAATAATTGTAGCTTGACGGACTGCTATCTATAAATATTGAGATAGAAGAAGATGGGGGCACCATTCACACCTGCCAATTCCAGTACCAATATAAGTTCCTCCACACGAACTCTGAAAACCAGGCCTAAGAATGTCAATCTAGTCCTTGTAGAAGGCCAGATGAGGCAGGATATCTTCCCAACTATCACTTATGGTATCAAAACTGATGGTACCTCTGAGGTTAGTGTCCTATGACTAAGCATGATGCGATGAACTCTAGCTCTGGTTAGCTCAGGCTGAGTAGCTCTTTGCCTCTGCTTTGCGAATGTTTGACTTGAAGTTTCTCTATAGCTCTCCTGTTAGGTGTTATTAGTTTGTCGCAAAGAGAGACCAAAGAATACAGTCTCCGAATTTTTTGTGCAAGGCAGTAAGTTGTCTCATACCCTTCCTCAATTGCCTAAGGTCTATTCGGAAATCATCTACACATCAAGAATGTGTCGCCTTTCACTATCAATACTTTTTTTTTTGTGAAAACAAGGCAATTTTCCATGTTGAAATACATCTCTGCATACTGTCATTTTTTTTATATGACAAGATATGACGCGACGTGGTTACAGCAGTCTTAGATTGATTGTACGCTCCCGCCTATCTAATATAGTCCCATGAGAGGTTTGTTGCTCAGAAAACAATATCCTGTGACTTTTTGATCTATCTCTTTCCCTGACATCTCTCATCAGGTAACAACTTCTCGACCGACAAGGAATCTCAAGAAAGAGAGATATCTGAGCTTAGCACCTTACTTAGCAGGGCGATCAGCTGCCCATTTCTTTAGATTCACATTTTCATAGTGATTTTCAACCGTTTTAGAGCTATTATCATTTCAGGCTAATTATGATTATATGCATTGTTGAAGCTGCTAGTGTTTTATGTTTGAAAATGTTCGAAAGGCTTCAACACTGATGCTTTTAGACTTCCACCAAAGCTAGTTTACCTGTTAAATATGATGATCTTCGGAGTATGATAACAAAATTCATCAAGACTAATCCGATGTGATCAAGATTCCATTGTCATCTGAATGTTTTCAATAACCCTGAATGTAATTTCTGTCAAATAAAATTTCATGTTTCGATGTAGATCATTCTTGTTTATTTCGCTCGTAAATGTTTAGCCTCTAGCCATATTCTGCGCATACTCTATCAATCATATAAAAGTGCAATCCTCCTGAAGTTCGACAAAAACCAGGGCGTTTCAATAACAAAATTCTTCCAGGTTTTCAAAATATCTTCGAATAACATAGCTATTGAATCTTGAGCATACGGCAAAACTTCTCATGGAATTTGTGATCACACTCGATTGAATAATACTCGGATTGATCCAGAGTACTCCAACCATATATATTTTTGTA